GGGCGGGCTTGCCTATCGCCCCTGTCCACGGCGCCTTACGAGCCGAGCGAGTAGGCAACCCGCCCGCACTCGTGCATGCGGTACAGCATAGCTACAGAAGTGCGCGACGTGAATCAGCCACCTGGTATGTCATTCCACAAGGCTTTTGTCATTCGTTTCCAGCGAAGCAGGCGGTAAGTCCGATACAAATACATCGTGACCCCGCCCAGCTTGTTTCTTGTAGGTACTCCGAGTGGCCGCTGTGCCCCGTTCCCCGTTGGAGCAAAATGTGGAAACTAGCCCGCATGCAATGCAGACCCGTGAATGGGTTTTGCCTTTCGTCCCTAGCATTGCACGGTGCCTTTGGGCCCCGTGTGAATAGACAACCCGTCCGCACGCCTGCATGCGGGCTAGTTTCCTCGTTTGCTCCAGCGAGGCGCACAGTGGCCCGGTGTATACAACAAGCGGGCCGGGGCCCGTGCGGCAGGGACAGGGGGGAGCGTCTGCCCTTTAGGTCCTTCGTGCACGGAGAAAAATACTTTGGTTGCTGTAACTCAAAAGGTGTTCTATCTGCCCGCTTAGTCATAACCATAGAACGAGCCATAGAACGTCCTATCGTGCTGGCTGGATTGTTTGGTAGGAGCGTCTGTACTCTACTCTCCGCCAGCACGTTAGAACGTTCTATGGTTATGACTAAGCACTAAGGGGACAGATAGAACACCATTTTAATGATAGCAACCACATTTTACGGCCGTGGCGACCAAATATTTTTCTGAGTGTGGAGACGTCCCTCCAGACCGCCCTCCAGTCCAGCTCCGGGAGCGCCCACTACCCCCCGCCCCCGCCACGCCCGCCCATCCCCCCGGCCCGGCGCCACAGTGTGGCCACGCCCCTGGGGCCCTAGTGTGATTACGCTCAACATGGTGGGGACCTGACCGCAGTTGCAGTCCACAGCGGGCGATGTCGCTCCGACTTGCCGACGGCTATACCTCAGCTGCCTGCTCCGCCGCCGCTGCCCCCCGGTTCGCCCTTTCCAGGCAATTTCGCTGCAAACTCTAGCAGCATGGCAAGGAGGGGGGCGTGGCGCCCCGGGCAAGTGAGCAGCGCGGAGGGTGGAGGTGGAGCGGCGCAGTTATTTTCTTCACGGCAGATTTTCCTCAGTTTTTCCCGGACCCGACTCCGAGGTGTAGCCCGCCTGCTTCCCCCTAAGTGGCAGTGGCAGACCTACAGTATCTTGTCGCCATACTACATTGAGTGAGTGGCAAAAGAGAAGGTCAGCGTGAAGGGCCGACCACCTTTGAATCGATGAAATTTCGTAGTGCAACCAGTTCAAATAGGATTCGGAAACGTCGCGAAATGTCGTTTGCCCGCAATAAAGTGTAATCCAAAGGTACGTAGGTGACACACGTGCGCAGAGGCTTGCCTCGCTATTTCGACGCAATCCTTTTCCCCCGCCAATAAACCACACCTCTGCTACGCTTCAAATGGCACTGCCCCAGACCTGACACGTTGTTATCGGTGCGGTATCAGGTAGATACTAG